CTGATGTGTGGAGTAATTCCACATTTTGCCTCTAGGGGCATAGGATACTGGCACACTTTAACAGGGTCTGCTCCTGCTTTGAGTTCAACATATACAGGAGGCCTGTGTCCTGCCAGACCCATACCTCCTGTTTCTGCCCAGGCTTGGGGAAATTTTTGGAGCCAATCTGATATATCAGGGTTTGGTTGGATCGGCTCCTGATGGAGTCTATATTCCTCAGTCAGGTCATTGGTGACTAGAACCTGAACTGGTGCCCCATTGTGAAGCAGGGTGGCTCCTTTAGCTGTGAAGTGGATCTGTGCCCTCATTTTTGACAATAAATCTCTGCCCAGAAGTGGGTAGGGACATTCTGGGATTACTACAAATGAGTGGGATACCCAGCCCTTCCCTAAATCTACTATTCTTTGGGTAGTCCATGAATAGGGCTTTGTTCCTGTTGCCCCCTGTATCCATGTAGTTCTGGAGGACACTGGCCCTCTTGGCTCCAATAAAACCGAATTCTGGGCACCTGTATCCACCATAAACTCAATTGGCTTCCCCTCTATTTTCAGGGTTACCCTGGGCTCAGGGAGGGGACCTGAGCCCTGTCTCCCCTAGTCACTGTCTTCACCCCCAATTAGAGCCGGTAATACTTTAGCTGATTGCTTATTCTTCTTGGGGCAGTCCTTCACCTAGTGCCCTTCCTCCTTGCAGTAAGCACATTGGTTTTTCCCTACCTTATTTCGTGGTCTTGATCCTGCCAATGAGCTCCATCCGTACTGGGGGTTAGTTGCCAATAATATCTCACTGAGGTCCTTCTTGTGGCAGGCCTGTTGTCTCTCCAGGACCCTGGTCAAGCTTGCTTCCTGTCTCTTTTCTTTTCTTTCCTCCCTTTGTTCTGCTGTCTCCCTTCTATTATAAACCTTTTCCGCCACTGCTATTAAGTCCCTAAGGTTCTTTTCTCCTAGTCTATCTAAAGACTGTAGCTTTCTCTTGATGTCAGGGGCTGCCTGGTTAATGAAGGCAAACATCACAGTTTGAGCTGATTCCTCCGCCTCTGGGATCATACGGAGTAAACAGCCAGAAGGCATCTTGTAACCTCTCTAAGTACGTGGCTGGGCTCTCTTCAGGCCCATCTGACATCATAGACCTTAGACATATTGGCGGGTTTTTGAGCCGCCATTTTGAGACCCGCTAACAGAGTCTGGCAGTAGACCAGGAGCCTCTCCTTACTTTCTGCTGTGTTGTAGTCCCAATTGGGATGACTGGGGGGAAATCTGGCATTAATGATGTCTGGGTCTGTGGTAGGTCCCCGGTGGGGCCCAGAACCAATTTCCAGGGTACCTCCAGGGTCCTGTTTCACTCCTCAATAGTGAACAGGACACTCAGGAGCTGGTGGCAATCGTCCCAGGTGGGCTGGTTAGTGAAGAGAACAGTTTCCAATAAGTTAATCAAGTCCCTAGGGTTTTCAGAGAAAGTCACATTCTGTGAGCGCCAATTGTAAAGATCACTGGTGGCAAAGGGCCAGTAATGAAAGGACTGATTGCCCTCTCGATCCGGGGGCCCCACCGGCCAGAGGGGGAGGACAATGGTGTCAGGCTCGGGGGCCACCCCCCGCCCCCCTCCGGCTCCGTGTGGCCTGCGCAGGTCCCTGTGGAAGCGATGGTGGCTCCTCAGGGTTAGCAGGCGGGGCCTGCAATTGTGGCGTGGTTGGCAGGGTGCCTGTCTGAGAGGAATAGCGCAGGGGAAAGTTGTCGTTCTCCTCTGTGCCTCCCTGGAGTATGGGTTTCTCTTCCGCCTTTGGTCTGAGATGGAGGACCTGCAGAGTTGGAGGGGGAGCAGTTGGATTAATCAGGGGAAGGAAGGACTTGACCGAGGCAGGGGGGCCATCAGGTCGTTTGATGAGGCCTTGCCAGGTGATGATGTGTGGGATCTGGTCCTGGTGGCCCGTCCATGGGCGGAAGATGTGGTCCTCTACCCTGGAAATCAAACTCAGGTTAAAAGTCCCTTCAGGGGGCCATCTGACATTGAAGGAGGGCCAATCAACCAAACATAAGGTTGTCCATTTCTTTTTCTTTACATCTACACTATTGTTATGGGCAATTGTCTTCACATCCCCCCAGTGGACTAGTGTAAGATCTAGAGGGCAAGATGGGGTGTTGCCCATAGTATTTATAAGTCCCGTCCGTTTCGTCAACAAAGAGATTAGAGCGAAGATCACAAGACACAAGAATGACACAGACAGACAGAGGGCCCAGAATAAACTACCATGGCTTTCAGATGGTCTGAACTCTCGGCCGTGTGGATTCCCCAGCTCGATTATGCCAAAGACCATACGGACAGGACGTGCGTGTCCCAACAGGGTCGGGTCACTAGGTCCTTTGTGGTTTCAGATGGACTAGTGTCCTGGTGGGGTGTCTGGTGAGGAACACCCACCCCGACGAGGATGGGGATGTCTCCTGAATCCTCCAGGTCGCCTTGCTAGTGTTCCAGTGACAAAAAACTGAGATCAGATGGCCACGACCAAAGCGAAAGTATACAGAAGACAGGTGGACAAACACAGTTTTACAAAAACCCTTACCCAGCCGGTTGATCACAAACCTTTTGGGGTCGGTTCCTCTCGGGGTGGGGGCGGTCTCTGTGGGGATCCCGGACGAGCCCCCAAATGTACCTCATCCACAGGACCCCAAGAAGACCACCAAGGACCCAACACACCAAAATGCAAAAGCAAGGTTTATGGTTTATTTGGGCTTAAGCTCAGGCTCTCAGACCTCACCAACGCAACGGATCCGTGCTGAGAGCCCAGAGTAAGTGAGGGTGGAGCCTTTTATAGGTTTTAGACAAAGTGAGGAGGGGGATACCAAAGTTACATTTTGGTTGGTTCAAGGAGCCCGCATGTGCCAACATAATTTTAAACTGATTGGATGTATAGGATGCAGT